GTTAACTCATTCAAAACTGATTTTTATTTATTTTTATCTGCGGCAAAGCCGCCAAGTTTTAAATGTTTAGATTTTCCTAAATATATATACTGTGCCTCACCGAGGTCATTGGTGATGACACCACGTCGCTCAGGTGATATGAGGTCAGGAAACGGACATGAGACCCGCAAGGTGCGAGAAGGGCTCGTCTCACGCCGTTGGCACGGCTCGCCTTCCTCGTCATTCCACACTGGGAACAGGAATGTCAGAGTCGTAGTCGGCAGAGCCCAGCTTCATCTCCCGTACACGGTGTCATGCAGGACCGTGTCTCCGCGGCATCGAAGGATGTAACTCCTAGGCTCGATAAGCCCGAGCGTCGCGCTCCGCGCACGCTAACGGTGATATGTGACCTCGTTGGGATGTGGAGGTGGTCGCACCGAGATCTGAGGCGCCCATGCAACCTCTTCTAAAAATGCGCCTATTTTGTATTGATTGCGGGGCACAAATTTTCATGACGTGAGGGCTGCTTGGGGTACAGAAAGTGAGAGGGAAGGAATATGAGCGCGCTAGAGGTGATGGACTTCGGCAAGTTTGCAAAGAAAGAGAGCGATCTTCTGGCTAAAAAGCAACGCCAATGTGCCTGAAGATATTGCATTTGTGGCATATTGATCGTCTGCATGTCACCTTCTCTCTTGGAAGTTTGGAGGGTAGGCACCCACGCAGGCGTATCAACAACCCTCTTGCGGAATGCTGACGGGTCGTAGTGGGCGCAGGGTATTTACTAGGAAGTAGCTTGGCTCAATTGTACTTCATGGTAGGTCGAGGTCAATGAGGCCCGGCCCTACACGATTCTGCTATCTCTAAAAAGGTAGGACTCACAGCAATAATAATATTGGTGGTCAACATCAGCATCTCTGGCACTTCAAAGCGCTGGAAAAGGCTCGATAGTTCAACACGTGAAACAGGGTAGCTTCGCCGATAGGTGTTGAGAAAGTGTTCTCGCTCATTAATGGAGTGACTGGAGTAGTTCAACAGGATTAAGGCATTATGTATTACATCAGGCAAAGAATCTTATTCAGCTTTAAAAGCTATCCCTAGAATATGAATCATTGCAATGGGGTGCATGTTGGTCAAGTATAAGGTTTTTGCCGATATGAAAAGTGTGTCTTTGGCGCCGTTAGATTTGCTTGTCTGGGTTACTCATTAGAAAGAAGTACCTGCGGGAAGATCCCGCAACGATAACTGTCATTGAGATCGGCCAGTGCCTCAACTTGAAGAAGTAGCTTGGATTGACCCACCACTTGCACAAATACAGCCCATTATGCCGACATGGCACGACATCTCGTTAATCGCTTTAAAACAAATGCTAGGTTTAGGGTACGGCAAAAAAGCGAACCGTAACGCAATAGAGAAAAACTTCATGAGTATTCCGATTCTGGCGCTTCCAAATCCAGGTCGGACGACCCATGTCGCCTGTGACATCGCAGCCTTTATAATAGACTATCCTCTAAGCAGATGCCAATGAGCAAAAAACGCGTAATATGTCGGCTTAAAGCGGCAAAAAAGTACTAAATAGTAAATACCAAGGGCTACATGTGGTGAAGTATGCTCTCGTCTAGTTTAGAATGCACCTGCCTGGCTCTAAGCAACATGTAATCTATACAGATCAGGTATCGTTGCGCATAGTGCCATCGTCCCCACAGAGTTGCAAGACTACTATCCCTCTTTGCCGTTTATAAATTTAGCTAGGGTAAACGCCGGGTCGGCTGAATGTGGTGGTGGATGCGCTTTTGCATAACCACGACTATACATCCACAACGGAAATTCCAAGGAGCAGTGTTAGAGCGAAACGCGTAAGTAAGACTCATTTCTTAAGCGCTTTTTACTTAATATATCGCAACTCCTCTGGACCATCTGTTGGGGTTAATTCGCTGTAGCAATGACAGTCGGTACATTCTACGAGAATTGCATCCTGGTGACTGCAACATGAATTACATGAAAAAATTGGTCATTGGGGACTTTTCTAAAAATTACAAAAGTCGACACGAGACATCGACATCAGATCTAGCGAATTCCCTGCTTGGTCTTACAGTGAAACAACTATGCTCATACTGATGTGACACAGCTTATGGTCAAGTTCCAATATTTTAACATGGCACCCTTCTCTGCAGTGCGTTATGCTACATGACTCTCTCGCTTGCCTAACAGAGTATGTGCTTAATTAAAAGTAGCATCAACAACCGTTTGATTTGTCACAGTCAGAAGACAAACTCCCATGAGTTATCGAAATAATTGTATCTCCGTTACCTTGTCGAATATTGGTTATGACCCTGGCGATCGCTCCGAGTCGCAAACCGCTCCAAAAAAAATTGATGCCGCCTTGCCTGAGCGGTATTGACAAGAAGAGATCCTCGCATGGCCAGCACCTTCAGCATTTGCATTTGCAGATCGCACGCCTTTCCATTTGGCATGTTTGACTGTAAAATTTTCGATCACTCGTTGGATGCTAACTTTTGCCTGAGGGGCCTCAGTAACTGAATCGTCGATTTGGAGCCGATCATCTACAAGAGTCAGTCCAGAGGGTTGTCAGTACAATGCGGCTAATTAAAGCGAGATCCCGCTACGAAACATGCAACCCATAGTGAACGCGGAGTATGTTTGCATCCGCTTTAAGATTTTAATGATTTAGTTAATCTCTGCAGCGGTGGTACGATGCCGTCGTTAGGATTACAAATTCTACCAACCTGTTCCCGCGTATAAATTGCTGTCTATAGAGTGATTGCGTTGAATATATTTCTAATGTACACGCTTTCGTGCTTTGAAATCTGCATTTTGCTATTGCACGTCTTGTAAGCACATTTATCATTTCATCGAGAAATAAATATCAATTTTGATACGAAACTTTATACAAGCAAAACGATCAATTATCAACTACAATCTCCCACTTCAGGGGAATCTGTTACACAAAAAAAGCTTGATCACCATGAACCGCATTGTTTGACGCAAACGCAGTGAATTAAGTATTGTCGCTTTTGCACCGCGGTCGCACCGCCAAACAATGTTGATATTGTCATTCACACAGTAAATAAGGCAATCCGTTTGACCATAAATCTGGTGCTAATATGCCACGAACATATTACCACGCACCTTGAACAAAGATTTCATTCATCGTCGAGTTAAGCAGCCGCTCAATTATATCAGATACGGTTGGTCGCAATGTAGCATCTTGCTTCAAAATCCATCTGCACCAAACACAACAACCAATTACCTCGTTCAGCACCTGCACACCTCACCTTAGAGTGCAAAAGGCCCACTGTATTATTTCGCAAAACTTTGATGAGTAAAAAACAGTTTTTTGAGAATTTAATCGGACCGGTGTCTACTAGGAATATGCACTCCACGACGCGCACGACACCCAAATTGTAAAAAGAGCATTCAAATGGCGAATCCGAATGTCATTGCGTAAAAGCAAGCAGCCTAGTGACCACACGTCGGTGGCGCTGGTAAAGTGCTAATGGGCTGGTACCTCGTAAAGTTCTGGGGTCGGAAAACGTTTGAGCCAAGCGCATTTGTGCAACATGTGTAAGCTCTGCTGCCTTACCTGGCGCCAGATAAACAATGGATCTATAACGTCAGCCGTGCTCTCCTTTGGCGAACAGCATGAGAATTTCCGGCGGAGACAAACAATGACGCAAGCACTGATTAAATGACTGATACCTTCATATCGCGATGTGCAAGTGGTGGTGCATTTACGTGCAGTTCTGTTTGTTACAGCTCGACAGATCTGGAGAAAAATGTCCAGAATGTGAGCTTCAGGAAATCGCACGTCTTTCTGTCATAAAATTGTTGCAACTTGTCATAACGAAGTGGCGAACCCAAAGTATTGTACAGTTAATACTTATTGCAGTATTTATCAGATTGCGTAATGTTCCAATCTATCTTCGATAGTAAAAGTTCAGGTCAACACAAACTCATATGCTCTTGCAATCATCAGCAAGAGCTCAAGCGCTTCCAAATATAGGAACCGCAAACAATACTCAAGCGCTTCATCTTCAGTGGATAAAACAGCGTAATCAGCTAGCGGCATGATGTTCGGGTGCGTGAAAGCCTTATCTGCTCGGCCAGCTGCACTTGTTTGTCTGTCTGGCATAATATTTTTTCAACTCAAAAGCCTCGCCTGTATCAATATTTCTGGCTGGATAAACGAAAATTCTCCTTGTGCAATCGCAGAGCTGATAAGCACTCGGTAAGTGAATTTTTCGAGCGACGTGACATGAGGAGGAAACAATAACCATGTACGTTCGGCCACTCTGCATACGCACGAAATTCGAGTATTTTAGACATAATAGAATTCGCCGGGATGCATAAAAAGGGAAGTATGTCACGGCTGGGCAGATGTGACCTGATGATGACAAGAAGTCCAACTTAAGTTCGAATAGATTGCGTTCATTCTTTCAGAGATTTATGATAGATGCACATCGTGTGGCTGCTTTTAATGTCAGAATCGGGCGGCGCTTGCTTGCAACGGCTACAACAACGATTAAGCAAAAAACTGACTTACGAAAGAAAAGTCTCCTAGTTGATGGCAATAATGTGCTCTATCATTTTTACAATCAGATGTCCACCATTACAAAGTGCGTAACTTTCGTAATTCGTGTGATTCATTTCTCTAACTTTATTTAAATGCGAAGTGGCCAAGTCAAAAATGAAGCGGTCGATGGCCTCCTACGTCTCTTGCGGCGAATGGACAAGACACATTGTCCCGAGCACATACTCGTTGTCTTTGATTCGAAACAGCGCTCCATCAGGAGCATCATCCAGCCGGACTACAAGAAGGATCGACCAACAACGCCATATTCACTGGTAACACAGTTTTCTTATGCGAAAGAAGCTTTAACAGCAGCCGGCGTCAACTGTATTGAGCGCCAGAGTATGGAGGCGGATGACATTATTGCCTCCTACTCGACGCAGTACACGGCTTATGGCTTCGACGTACTCCTCATTTCAAACGACAACGACTTTTTGCAACTCGTGCATGATGGTATCAGCGAAGTGGCAAAATTAGAAACCACGGAAAGCACTTTAAATGATCATGATATTTTGCCTGCTACCATTGTCGAGATCTACCAACCATCAAGACAACGGTATGTCCGCGAGCGAAACGTGCGTGGGAGGTTTAGATTGCACCCAAAGTTGCTTCCCGATTTTCACGCTCTGTGCGGTCATCAATGGAAGAAAATACCGAGAGTTGATCATGTGACCGATGAATTGGCAGTGCACTTGCTTACACAGTATGGTGGGCTGTTCCCATTGTTGCGCCATCTCGACACAGTCAATGACCTGATTTTACGGAATTCGCTAAAGCAGTGCATTTCTTCTATCGAGTCCTCCTTCCGGTTAGTCAAACTGGTCAACACAGTCGCGCTACCTGTTGCAATTGAGGAGCTCGGTCGGCCTCGGCTGAATGAGCCACAATTTTAGTTATAGCTAGCAAGTTGTACCGACAAAACATTGTGGAAAAAAATCAGACTTTAATTAAAAGAGACTACTCAACGTTCATTCCTTTGCCTCCTCAGGGGTAAGAAATGGTTGCCTAGCACCAAACGCATCTCTGGCAGGTGGGCTTACGTGACTTTCATTTTCGTCGCCCTCTGACTCTGAGCATGCACTCAACAGAATTCCTGCTCGCGTTTCTTTAATTTTCATATTAATTAGATCAAGACGCTCCTTGGCACGGCGGTTTGAAAACCACATCTTGATTTCTTGCTTTGTGACGCCAAGTTCGTCTACAGAGTGTTCATCCGTATGATCATCTCGATTTAAAACCTTCTGCAGTTCTTCCAGTCGAGCCGCTGTTGGTCGCGGATTCTTTTCATACTCTTCAATTATTGTAGCAAGCTGCTTCACGTTGAAAAATCGCCCAGCTTGAGTACTGCTCGTGAAACCTTCGTCGCTTTTCATAGAGAGCAAGCTTGTTGACTCTGTTGTCGCCAGGTCATTTTCTACAGACTGAGCGTTAAAATTTTCTTGTTTGTATCGCTTGATGCAGGTTTTATCGTCACTTTCAAGCGCTTTACGCTTTGCCCCAAGAATTTGGTTTTGAGCTTTCGGCTTAGACTTCGAGCGTGACTTAGACACTTTGTCGGATTTGCTATCGTTGTCTGACTCGGTGTCGCTTGAGCTCGACGAGCTCGAAGCAACGTCGTTGATGTGCAGATCCGCACCACTTAGCGCCTGAGGTGGCTGATTCGCTGATCGCCGCTTATAGAACCAGCATCGAATCTGCTTGTAATCAATCGACCTCTGAGCCACATCACTTGATGGGTCCGATGACGCAATTCCATTCAGCCGCGCTGCGATTTTATCTAACTTTTTTTTGCTAGGTGTGTCTTCTTTGTGAAAATACTTTTCGAGTTTCACGAGTTGAGCCAGCGAGAATTTGACACGCGGTCGCCGCGACTCCGGCGAAGGGGTCGGACCCGAGTTTGGCGATGACACTGGAGTTCCTGGTAAAGATTCTGTGTCTAAATTGAGCAGTAGTGATCGCGCTTTTTCTTTTCGTCTTTTCTTACTGTTCCTGTCTTCGGCACTCGCAGTCATTACGCTCGGTATATCCCCGTTTTCCACCGTTGATCTGAATTCTTCTTGCAGTTTTTTTGTTTGCCGCACAAGCTCTTTGTTATCTTTGTGAGCTAGCAGCACTAAATCTAATTGACGCTGCATATCTGACTCGATCAGAACGGCGCGCGGAATGAGAAGCGAGAGTAGCAATTCAATTATATCAGTAAGTTCCTCAGCAGGTGCGTCTTCTTCAAGCAGCTTTAACAATTTCATCTTGATGTGTGATAATTCCTCTTTGCCCAGAGGCTTAAATGGCCCAGTGCGAGCGTTCTTAAATGGAACATGCAGTCTCTCTCGTGCACGCTCAATTGCTGCAGTGCGTAATGCTTTCATTTCTTCTTCATTTTTGCCAGCGTCACGAGCATCCTTAATCGCCTTTCTCACAGAAGCGACGTAATCAATTCGAATGCGCTTTTTTGAAGCGCTGGGTCCACCAGAAACAGAAGGCTTTTCGCTTCCATCTTTGCTAGTGCCTTCCAAAATAGTGGTTTTATTTCCTGTTTCAGACAAAATCGAGTTCATAGTCCGACCATGTATGGGATGGTCAGCGATATTTGCGATCAAAGCCATGTCGGCTTCATCCACGACATTACTCGAGCCCTGACCATTGTCGCGCATTCTTGACACTCGAGCCTCGAGTACTTCCTTTGCCTCGTCAATATAAGCGGCTTTCATCTTCTTGACACTGTCAGCATCCATGTCCGTAGTTGATATGTCCTTCATTTTTAAGCGCATGTAGTCTAGACGTTCCTTAGCACGCCTATTGTCAAACCAAATGCGTATCTGTTTCACTGATATACCTTCTGGCTGTAACTCTGAATCCGCGTAATCTGGACAATTGATAATGCGGTACATCGAGTGGATCTCACTAGACTCTGGTCGCGAAGATCGCTGGTACCATTCTTCCAATTTCTGAATCTGCTTCGATGAATACAAGCGGCTCGCACCACTTTTTCCCTTTGAGCCCGATGCAGATCGACCAGCTGTTCCTGTTCCCTGCTTCTTACTACCACTAGATGCTGTTTTACAATCTTGATTGGGAATGGCTTTGATCTCCTTGATGAGGTCAATCTCAAACTGAATGCCTGCAACTTGCAGCTGCTCAAGCAACCGCTTCAAAGTATCCAAATCATTGTATACTCGACGTAGCAGATGATCTTTGTCTGAAGCTTTAATTATTGCAGTGGCGATTCCATCGTTCGTTGCAACAATCTGTGAAGAAGCAGCAGTAGAAGCATGTGCAAGTGACGATGTTGGAACCAGTAGAAAAGGAGGTGGAGGTGGAGGGGGCGTACCCGTATCCTGTTGCTGCTGTTGTTGTTGCTCACACTTCACATCATTGTTGTTCGTACTAAGTCTCTCATCACCATTCTTATCACTCTTATCATGCCTGAGATCTCTAGCATTTCCGAGCCAGTACGGGCCCATGACATCAATCAACTCCCTTGAAAGATTTTGTGTGATAACCAGCATTTCTCCAGTCTGATCCAAAATTGTGGTATTGATGTTATTACCGCCACGCAAAGCTAGATCCGTCACACGCTGTATTTCTATCTCTGAAGCGGGACTATTTCCATCCCCTGCTGTTCCTGATCTTTCATCACCCTCACTTTTGCCTCGAATTGTGAAGGAAGACTTGGCACTACGACTACTGCGGTTTTTCGCAGACGAATCACTTCGCTGCTTGCTGGGTGTACTACCAGGAGATTTATCAGTCGTTGAAATTGTAGCAGCTGGCTCACAATCTGGACAAGACCATTGGCGTGTGGTGCTCGGTACTAACTTTGGATGTTGTCGACGAAAGCAACTCGAGTGGTACATGCACTTGCACTGTTGGCACAGGAGTGCTCGTCGCCCATTGCGCGGTTCATGGCATACTTCGCATTCTTTGCGTGCAACAGTGCGGCGACGTGTGGCGATGATTGCACCCACATTCGATGTGCCTGATTTAAGTTTCAATGGCGTCGAATCATCCACGTTATTACTAGGACTGGGTGAGGGCACGTATATAACGGCCTTTTCCGACGCCGAGTCTGTCTCGCTGTGCCCATGCGTCTTCTTCTGATTTTCTCCCTTGTACAAACGTGAAGAAAGCGCGCTCGAGAAATCTGCACTCTTAAGCAAATCTTCGTCGTCTTCGTCAGTTTCAGAGCGCCTCGGCGTGGCTGTGCTGTCAAGGTCGTCATCGGATGGAACGTTTAAGAACTCATCGTCATCCTTCTCTACTTGCACGCCACCTTCTTCCCCCTCGTCATTTTCTTCCACCGCCAAGCTTCCAGGTGCTTCCATGTTGCGGTCATCGCTTCTTGAAAAAAAAGGAGAAACCACCGCATCACTTTGTAAGGATGCCGAATCCTCATCATCTGAGGCTTCATCATCATCATCCGAGACGGACTGGAGGTTGCTCTTGTACACTAGAAGTGCCTTTTTGCGCTCCGTGGCATCGTCCGCTGCTGTTTTGCTGTCCATGTCTATATTCGCCCCTCCAGAGCCTTGTGCTTCTTGGTGTGGGTGGAGGCGTGAGAGCTCGTTAAGTACGACTAATGTGGTGTTGGCCACGTCTAAAAACGGAGAGAGATATTGCTCATAAAAGACTACTTTTCAAATTCATTCTACGTTAATATTTATGAGAGTCTATCGATCGATTTATCCAGATATCAAGCGTAACGACACGTACCGAATCATGTGTATGCACTCATTGTGTAACTGGGTTACACGTACCCTGGTAGCAGGTGTGTGTGTCACACGAGATGGGCATGAGCTGGAAGCTGCCCATAAGGCGGCTCTGATTCGCGCCCATTCAAGGCCAGTCATCGACCCTCGTGTGGAATATGGCTTCCGCCCGGCGGATCCCTCTGTGAAAGCGAAGGACGTAGTAACTCGATCGTTACGCCTCCACATCATTGGACCCTCGGCCATTAAGGAAAATGATCTTGCCGAACGGAAAGCTGTTCGAGCTCGATTCTTGGTTCCACAAGAATTTCTGTTGAAAGCTTATCGCATGCTCAACGAGGTGGCTCTCGTGTTCCCGCAATGCGGATAATACCTGTAGTGCTCGCCCCTGGCGATAGCGCTACAGATGACGAAACGCCCTTTGAGCGATGGGCGCAACGGCACCAAAAACTTTCTTCACTGCGTGAACGCTGTCAGAACCAGCGAGACTTGGAGACATCGGTGGCATTGACACAGGGCTCATTGGTCACGGAAGTCGTTTCGTTCCAACGCAGTGTCTAACGGACACGCAAGCCTTGTTGGAGCAATAATCGAGTGGAACTATAAATGTTCTCAATCTTAATGGGGGAGAGTGTAACGGGGTTACACATACCCTGGTAAC